AGCGCAGTTCTCTGGGAGCAGTCATGCTGTACGGCAGCTGGGATGTCAACAATCCCAGTTCTTGCTTTCTGGGCTTCCCTTGGCAGGGTAACCCGGCTCTGGCTAATGAAGTCTAAGGGAGGGCTGTCAGATGGGTTCTGCGGAGGCTTCTGATTTCCCCATAAAAGGGATCACTGTGGCAATGGCACTCGTGCCCCTTCTTGCTCCCTTAAACACAGAAGTGGTGTCACTGTCTCCGTCCGACAGATGAAAAACCGAGGCACAGCACTGTTGACACGTGCACACGGTCGTGCAGCAGTGTCAGTTGGGAGTCCTAATCCAAATAATCCAGTCTGCCTTCAACACACTAAGAATGGCAAGGTGGAAAACGTGCCTGGGGTCCCAATGACATCACCAGGCAGCGGAACCCAAGCCGTCAACTGTCCACCTCCTGAGTTACGTGAAACAAACTTCAGTTTAATGAGAATATTTTTAGAAGCACGCTCTATTATTGTAGCAAAAACACAGCCACAAAAACCCGACATATTTTGGATTATTTTCTTTGACTGGATTTTAGAAGTAGGGTGTGAGTCAAAGAGTATGACTAGTTTTTAGGTCCTTACCACCTATTATGAATTATTTGTGCTAGTAGCACTTTTGCTACGATCAAGTATCACTGGCTAGAGTTTAAGAGTGCTCCAAACGAAAGATTCTAGCACCCAGTCAGTAAAGGAGAAGACAGGATTTGAGAAGACAAGACACACCGCCCCTCTAGAGCATCTTCAAGTCACTCCTTACCTTGGTTTAGGATACATTCCCCTTCTAATTATAAAGAAAGTTCACAAGAGTGGGTTGCAACATGTTTTATTCTCTGCCTTAAAGTTATTTTGTGTCTCACACAAAAGTAAACACTGTAAAAAGATTCAGAAAGCAAAGCCAAAGGAAGAAAACAACCCCACACATGATCCCAACACCAAAGAAAACTATGCTTAGTATTTGTGTATCTCCTTTAGGGCTTTTATTACTCCCCACGTTTCACAGGTATAATTGGTATACTGTAGTAGTACTTTGTTATTTTGTTCTTTTCGTTTACAATCAGCATTTCCTACTGCAAACATTTTAATGGCTGCATAATATTCCACCATACAGATACATCCCAGTTGGTTTAACCAGTACCACTTGAGATTGGACTGACAAAAACATAAAAGTAGAGTCTAAAGAAGGAAATGAGATTACCACATAAGGAGTGCCCTATAAAAATACAAGCTTATGCTACTTAAATAGCATAAAAATAAGGGACCAGCAGTTGGCATAATGGTTATGTCACTGGACTCCCATGTAGTCAATCGCGGTTCAAGTCCTGGTGGCTTAAACTCATGCCGAGCGCATGTGCGTGCATGCCCAAGATCCCGAGAGGAAAATAGAGAAGAAATTGTGGCATGGCCATCCCTGCCTGGGGGGTAATTTCTCGCTTTCTGTTTCTCTCTTTCTGGTGAGCACACACGCCCTACAGCAAAAACCTCTCCAAAAAAAAAAGGAAATAAAAAAGTATAAAAATAAACTGTGTTCTCTGCTTTTCTTTGTATTTTCAAACAATTGCAGACCAAAGACTAGAAGAAAGGTTATTTCCAGAGCGTTGACTCTGTAAGTAATAAGGATACAAGACACTGTCCTGCCTTCTAGTTGATATTAAAGGTCTTTCATAAATTTCATTAAGTACATTCCAAAAACATGTAAGCAGTGCATGAAAAAATGTCACGTGACAAAATTACATTATCTTTACATGCCATTTTAAAATGTGTTACCTAAAAATAGCTGATTCAACTTTCTAGTTAGAATTATGATACAATACTATTATAGATTATACATTTTTAAATAATTAGAATATCAATAAAATTTATATTAACCATAATCTTTAAAAAATATTATACTAAAATTTTGTTACCTTTTTTTTTTTTTTTAAAAGACAGGATTTTGCTGCCCTTGTTCTGTCTCAGCCTCCCGGCTGGGACTACAGGTACATGACATCACGCCCAGCTCTTTTAGACAAGGTCTGGCGATGCTACCAGACCAGCCTCCAGCTCGTGCCCTTCCTGCTCCAGCCTCCTGGTAGCTGGGATTACAGGTGCGTGCTGCGGTGCCCGGCCTGGACCAGCCGCTTACCTGATGTCTGATGATTCCGGAATGCACTTCCTACTGCCCTGCTCACCACCCCTCTGTCAGCAGGGCTGCACCCGCCTGCTGGCTGAACAGCTCCTTCCTTAGAAGGCCCCAGCTGGTGCTGTACCTTTTTTTTAAATATCGAGAATGATATATATTTATGGCATACGATGTGATGCTGCGTGAATAAAGATGGCTCAGGTATCCATCACCTCCTCTGCTTATTTGTGTGACTGTGGCTTTTTAATACGCTATGAACTGCCTTGTATTCTAAAGCCATTCTGTGAATCTACTTCCTTCATTGCATTGAAAGTCTCTGTAAGGCACCAACACTGTGTTTGCAACCCACACAGCACCTAGGAGAGGGCCTGCACACAGGGTTTGCGCATAGTTTTAGGCCACTCAGTAGCCCTAAAAATATCTCAAACTCGTCCCCCCCAAAATGGACTTGAGGGCTAAAACAAATACTTGTAGCAACTGTAAAAAAAAATAACAATGCAATAGATATATAATCTTTGATGACAAGTTTACTGAAAACTTTGTAGCCAAAAACATACTAAGTGCTTACAGACATTATTTCTCAAACTAGTCAAGGAGGTAGACAGTACGACATTTACAGGCAGAGAACTACAGGGATTAAATGTGTGTTCAGATATTTGCCGAGCGCCTCCCTATCAGACACTGAACGAGCAGCAAGAGTCCAGCAGAGAGCAGACAAAATCCTGGTCTCATGTGAGGCTTATTTACAGGGGGAACTTGCTAAGATCACACAGATAACAAACCGGCCGCAGATTTCTACCGCTGTTACACATTGACTTCTGGCAGAGTGAGTGCATTCCTGAAACGGGTCAATTCTCAAGGCTGACAAAAATTTGAGACTGAGAATTTCAAGTTGAGATACTAATGACCTCTTCGAAATGAAAGTCACCCTTCAAGGTCACTTAGTCTCTACTGGGGCCGTCAACACGGTGAGAAGCTGATCTTCAAACTGATAAAAAGCAAAACAAAAAAGGAACGCATTCCCAAGAGATGACTTATAAAATAATAAAAGGAAATCAGAAAAGAGTAAGATAGTGTGGGGTTAAAGAAGTAAGTTTAGAATGTGCCTCTTTAAACCAGGTGTCTGATTTGCATACAAGCCTCGGGCTAGTTAAGCACATGCTAAGGCCACAGGAGAAAGAGGGGAGTCGGAACACAGAATGGACTGTGGCTTCCTGACAGCTACAGGGTGGAGGCCTCAGGGAAGGAGAGAGCTTCCAAGCACCACCCAGTTTGCAGTGAAGCCATAAATCCTGTCATACCATTTTGAATTTTATTCACTGTCTAGATCCAGACACATTGAGACACACCCAGTTCAAGATGCAAAAGAGGGCCCACGGCCCAGGGCAGCAGAAGCAGAGGGCAGCACGAGACTCTGTGATGCTGGAAGCCACAGGGACCAGGGGGTCTCGTTCTGGGTTGACCTGTATATACCTGGGGCGCACGTGCCTGTGATTCTGGCTGCTGGGAAAGCTGAAGAGGACCTCACCGCGTGACCCTGTGGGAGGTGCTTGTTTTTCTCTCTGTATCCCTGGGATTTTGTTCAAAGAAAAAATATTTACAAATATAAAAAAAGGTGGGGGAGCAGATTCAGGTCTGTAATACATAAATTTGCATTGGAGACTTCCTGTGAAGCATTAGAGTTGCTGGGGACTGACAGTCTGAGTAATCCCCAAACAGTGATCTGGGCACCCTGGGGATAGTCAAGAAGTTTCATTCAAGTACTGCTGAAACTGAGAGCAAAGAAAACAGAAAAACTGGAAAGGGAATAAGAAAAGTGATTTTAGGAGCTGCTTTTAATTCCGAGTAGACAAGAAACTGCTCTTTACTTCATCAGTAAGAGAACATCTCATCTACACAGTATCATCTCAGAAATCTGATGCAAAAGGCACCCAACTATTTCCAAATGCAAAAGCTTCATCCCCTGAAACTGACTGGAGCACACCCGGGGACCACCCAAACCGCCCCCCACACAGCACCCACCTGACGTTACACACCTTCTCCTGAGAGAGGCAAACGCGGACTGGGAATGCTTAAGGCAGGTTGAGGAAACAGGCTTCAAGGGTGGGCAGCTCAAAAAAGGATCTACGGACATTCCAGAGTCACTATTTATACTTAAGGCAACTTAAAAAGTGCGATCTTAACCAGAAAGCCATATTCAAAACAAAATGCTATTGGACTGACCGAACAAGCTGCCCGCCCACGATCTGTATAGCAGGGACCTGCGTTCGCAGGCAAGCCTATTTACAAGTAAGAACCTCTTACTCTTGTAACATTGTCCTGTTTTGTTTTCAGAGAATATATAACTCCTGTCCCCGCAGAGTTAGTCCACAAGGCTTCCGTGACGCCACAGAAACATGGACCTACCCCTACAGAGCACTATTTACACTGCACTGTAAACACACATATGTACACCCGCCCCCCCACTCTGAATGCCGTGTGGAGTGGGTAGGGCGCATTCATTTTTCTCTCTACAGTGAGAATTAGTAGGCACTCAATAACTTTTCACATGAATGCTAAATGAAAACGATTTTATAGCACCGTTATTTACATCCCCACGACCCATATCCAAACAGAAACACCAAACTGCTACCAGGTTTACTGGAGTTTTCACAACATAGTGCTCCTGAACTCACAAATGTAAGCAAGCAGTCCTCAGTTTACTAATTCCTAGAGCAAAGACTCAAACTTAGCGTTCTCCTTGGAATGGGAAACTTGCTTCAGGTTACTTCATCCTTTTCCTCTTCTTCAGAAGTGCATCTCGTAGGCTAAAACAAATACTTGTAGCAACTGTAAAAAAAAATAACAATGCAATAGATATATAATCTTTGATGACAAGTTTACTGAAAACTTTGTAGCCAAAAACATACTAAGTGCTTACAGACATTATTTCTCAAACTAGTCAAGGAGGTAGACAGTACGACATTTACAGGCAGAGAACTACAGGGATTAAATGTGTGTTCAGATATTTGCCGAGCGCCTCCCTATCAGACACTGAACGAGCAGCAAGAGTCCAGCAGAGAGCAGACAAAATCCTGGTCTCATGTGAGGCTTATTTACAGGGGGAACTTGCTAAGATCACACAGATAACAAACCGGCCGCAGATTTCTACCGCTGTTACACATTGACTTCTGGCAGAGTGAGTGCATTCCTGAAACGGGTCAATTCTCAAGGCTGACAAAAATTTGAGACTGAGAATTTCAAGTTGAGATACTAATGACCTCTTCGAAATGAAAGTCACCCTTCAAGGTCACTTAGTCTCTACTGGGGCCGTCAACACGGTGAGAAGCTGATCTTCAAACTGATAAAAAGCAAAACAAAAAAGGAACGCATTCCCAAGAGATGACTTATAAAATAATAAAAGGAAATCAGAAAAGAGTAAGATAGTGTGGGGTTAAAGAAGTAAGTTTAGAATGTGCCTCTTTAAACCAGGTGTCTGATTTGCATACAAGCCTCGGGCTAGTTAAGCACATGCTAAGGCCACAGGAGAAAGAGGGGAGTCGGAACACAGAATGGACTGTGGCTTCCTGACAGCTACAGGGTGGAGGCCTCAGGGAAGGAGAGAGCTTCCAAGCACCACCCAGTTTGCAGTGAAGCCATAAATCCTGTCATACCATTTTGAATTTTATTCACTGTCTAGATCCAGACACATTGAGACACACCCAGTTCAAGATGCAAAAGAGGGCCCACGGCCCAGGGCAGCAGAAGCAGAGGGCAGCACGAGACTCTGTGATGCTGGAAGCCACAGGGACCAGGGGGTCTCGTTCTGGGTTGACCTGTATATACCTGGGGCGCACGTGCCTGTGATTCTGGCTGCTGGGAAAGCTGAAGAGGACCTCACCGCGTGACCCTGTGGGAGGTGCTTGTTTTTCTCTCTGTATCCCTGGGATTTTGTTCAAAGAAAAAATATTTACAAATATAAAAAAAGGTGGGGGAGCAGATTCAGGTCTGTAATACATAAATTTGCATTGGAGACTTCCTGTGAAGCATTAGAGTTGCTGGGGACTGACAGTCTGAGTAATCCCCAAACAGTGATCTGGGCACCCTGGGGATAGTCAAGAAGTTTCATTCAAGTACTGCTGAAACTGAGAGCAAAGAAAACAGAAAAACTGGAAAGGGAATAAGAAAAGTGATTTTAGGAGCTGCTTTTAATTCCGAGTAGACAAGAAACTGCTCTTTACTTCATCAGTAAGAGAACATCTCATCTACACAGTATCATCTCAGAAATCTGATGCAAAAGGCACCCAACTATTTCCAAATGCAAAAGCTTCATCCCCTGAAACTGACTGGAGCACACCCGGGGACCACCCAAACCGCCCCCCACACAGCACCCACCTGACGTTACACACCTTCTCCTGAGAGAGGCAAACGCGGACTGGGAATGCTTAAGGCAGGTTGAGGAAACAGGCTTCAAGGGTGGGCAGCTCAAAAAAGGATCTACGGACATTCCAGAGTCACTATTTATACTTAAGGCAACTTAAAAAGTGCGATCTTAACCAGAAAGCCATATTCAAAACAAAATGCTATTGGACTGACCGAACAAGCTGCCCGCCCACGATCTGTATAGCAGGGACCTGCGTTCGCAGGCAAGCCTATTTACAAGTAAGAACCTCTTACTCTTGTAACATTGTCCTGTTTTGTTTTCAGAGAATATATAACTCCTGTCCCCGCAGAGTTAGTCCACAAGGCTTCCGTGACGCCACAGAAACATGGACCTACCCCTACAGAGCACTATTTACACTGCACTGTAAACACACATATGTACACCCGCCCCCCCACTCTGAATGCCGTGTGGAGTGGGTAGGGCGCATTCATTTTTCTCTCTACAGTGAGAATTAGTAGGCACTCAATAACTTTTCACATGAATGCTAAATGAAAACGATTTTATAGCACCGTTATTTACATCCCCACGACCCATATCCAAACAGAAACACCAAACTGCTACCAGGTTTACTGGAGTTTTCACAACATAGTGCTCCTGAACTCACAAATGTAAGCAAGCAGTCCTCAGTTTACTAATTCCTAGAGCAAAGACTCAAACTTAGCGTTCTCCTTGGAATGGGAAACTTGCTTCAGGTTACTTCATCCTTTTCCTCTTCTTCAGAAGTGCATCTCGTAGCGCCAGCTGGAAAAAAAAAAATTTTACACATGATACCATATCGCACGTGGATGAAATGAGTTGAGCGGAAAGCTCCAGAATAGTCAAGCTGCACGGTAAGAACTCGATGTGCAGCTAATGCCGGCAACCTGAGTTTGCTTCTGCTCCTTAAGCTCAGTACCACTCACAGGCTATTGTCACGTTATCTCGCTCCTTCCCCCGAAAGGCCATCCCGTGAACAAAGGGAACAGGTATCTTCTCCTCTCCCTTTCCCTGTCTAAAGGCCCTGCGAGCTCCCCTCTCCCTCTCTATCACGTGCTTTACTTTTCTGGTCTAATCTCAAGTCGCCTCTTTTTATATGTTCTAAAAATTTACAGGAAGACCTCATATACATGTTCGAGCCATGGTAAGACCTTTCCATTTCAACCGATGAAGTATCACCGAAGAATAGAGGGGGTTGTGAAGTGTGATGTTCCTTTCCAGGGCACCTGGGGACATGAGACAATCTGGGAACGTGCTATAGTTGCACTGTCCGACAGGGTAGCCACTACCGACATGAGGCTACCGAGAATGGAAATGTGGCCAAGTCTATTGAGATGCAGCGGGAAATACAGACTGCATTTCAGGTAGTTCAAAGACATGAACGTAACATACCTCGAAAATTTCCCATTGATTATGTGGTGAAATTATACTATTTTGAATGAACTGGAGTAAGTTATATAATTAAAATTCACTTCATTTCATTTATTTTAACTATATATGTAATTCATATGTTTTTATTGAGCAATGCTGGTCTAAAGTAAAACATAGGATAGAGCAAACCAGGAACCTAGAGATGACTGTGCACATGCCCACGTCTGCAGGCTGACTCAGGGATCCAAACCGCAGACAAACGTGTTACAGCACTGCAGTCCAGTAAGCCACGGACTATGCCACCCGGGCTGGGCTGGAAAAGCATTCTTGAACCAGTAGGTGCTTATGTCCAATGAACTAATTTACTCTTAAATACTCTTTGTCTTTGAGAGATGTTTTATGACACACAAGTGCCGACAAAGTACAAAACAGAGCTTGCTTCTCCATCATGCCCCCAAAATGCATGCTAAAAAGCAGAAGAAGCAGAGGGTGGGGAAGTGTCAGCTAAGATGTCGCAAGGTCCCGCAACCTCATAAAGAAGCAAGGCCACCAACCGGGTGCTACTCTTTCCTCAACCGCACAATGTCGTGATGGGCAGTAAAGGGCAGGCTCATGGATTTCAGTCAGTTCAACTCTAAATGTAGGAGATGGTGGCAAAATTCAGAGTACTTAAAAGCTTAAACGGCACTTTTCCTTTTATCCCACTTTCAACTGCTTCTATTAAATATGCTGTCACTTTATTATTTACATGATGGTGTTGGGGACCAGCAGGTGGAGCAGTGATTAAGGCAGAGGACTCCCACATGGCTAACTGCGGCTTGACACCCACATCCAGCAGCTTGAAAAATCACACTAGGCACAAGTGCATGCATGCCCAAAATCCCAAGAGGAAAACGGAGAAGAAGGGAATACAGAGTGCCCATTCTCCCTGTGTGGTGGGGTGATTTCTCACTTTCCCTGTCTGTCTCTATCTCTCTCCGGAGTTTGCACATGTCCTATGGCAAACAAACAAACAAACAAACAAAAACCCTTAAAAAAACAAAACATGATGGTGTTGAACACAGTTTAGAACTAGAAAGATTAAACGCACAGTTTAAATGGCACCTTAGTTCAGTAATATTGATGTGGTACTCAGGCAGACACTGCACTGTCCTGGAGGGCCGGCCTTCACATGCAGTCCTGGAAGGCTTGTCCTTGGCTAGCTATTTAGGAACACTGGTTCAGCATGTGGGACTATTTTACCCTGGACCTGACTTTCTAAGATTCTTCAGGAAACATTTCAATATATTCTGGCGCACTCCCAGGAGGTGAAGACACAAAAGCATACATGTGTTTTAATTGCATTTCTGGGATAAGTAAGCCACCCAAGCAGCATGGGATTATCATTTGAAGGCCACAAATGGATGAAATGAAATTCTAAAATCTATGAACATAAAGCCTTTGCAAAAGTGTACATATGGGAAGGCTCAAGTCAATAACATAATTGTTTATTTTATACTGCTTTCTCTTTTTTTCTGGAGAGATTTTTGCTATAAGGAACGTGTGCTTGCCAGAGAGAGCCAGACAGACAGAAAGACCGAAAGCAAGAAATCACCCCTGGGTGGATGGTCATGTCACAATCCTTTCTTCTACATTCTCCTCTTGGGATTTTGGGCACACATGCCCAGCTTGAGTTCCAAGCCTCTGGGTCCAGGACTTGAACCGTGGTGGGTCATGTAGGAGTCCAGCAAGGTAACCGTTATGCCATCTAGTCCCTGCACTGCTTTCTTGAAAGTACTGCTAAAATATTATCCCACAAAAGTATTGTTTTTTGCAAAGTACTAGGCATAACATTGCAATTGATTCTGATACTGATTTTCCAGCTCAAACATCAGAGAAGTTTAGTAGGGGAAAGAAGTGCAGGGTTAATCTAGCTGTACTCCTTCACTTAACTTAGAGAGGAGGGAAACGGATCCCTTCTGGGTACAAGCTGAATGCAACCAAGCGGGCCAGGAACGTACATGCCCTGATTACCACCTCACTGCTCTCTAGCAGTGCTCCCATTCATCCCAAGGCAGCCATAAGACATGGTCTTCAGAAGGCACAGCTCCATCCCGAAGGTCAGTACCATTCTGGCCACCCAAGCTTCAGGCTGAACTCACCTGCTTTTCTCGGAAAGAACGCTTATTTTTGGACCGGACATTCTGGCTATACCGCATCATCATAAAGTTCTTCTGCTTTTTCTTCTCTTTATTTGTGGAACTGGAGAATGGATTCATTTTCGTTTTCTTCCTTACAAACTCCTTTCGGTCTGTCTTACCAGCCTATTAGCACAGAAAGATCAATATTTCTTCTTACTTAACACGCTTCAGTGGTGAGTCATCTAATCAATCTACATGTCTCCTCTGGGCCAGGCACTCTACTGGATGCAAGGATAAGTCCTGGCTCCCAGGAACTCAGTCCAAATGAAAAATGGCCGTCAAGTTCTGTAATGGGGCCGGGAGTGTGTGTGTGTGTGTGTGTGTGTGTGTGTGTGTAGGGGGGGGGGCTCAGCAGAAGGAAGGGTCACAGTTGAGCTTGGTGGGGTCAGAGGACAGCATGCTGTTTTGGCAGGATGAAGGTATCCATGGTAGGGGCACAAGGGGAAGGGAAGTAGGACAGTGTATGCAAAGGCGTGGAGGAGGAAGAACGTGAGTTTTGAAACTTATCTAAATAGGTTTCAGAACCCACCCCTAAATAGCTCCAGCACTAGCCAGAGGCAAACTACGGCCAGCTCTGGCTCTTCACTGATGACTAAACATTTCCTTGCATTCCTAGGAGCGTCTGTCATGTGCCAGGCCTCCTGATAACAGAGCTTCTGAGGGCTCTTGGTTTGAGAGGTGGTGACCTGGCTACAAGCTGTCTGAACTCATCCAACTGACCAGCTGCTATCTGTGCATTTTATACCATGTCAATAACAATTTTATTTAAAACATTTTAAAAACTGCATTCTGTTATTACACAAGTCCTAGATTATATATTGTTTCATTTGCTTACTGTTTAAAGAACGGGAAATAATACGCCTCACTCACCATGGCAGTGGCCAGTCTTGTCTCCTTGTCAGATTTGGGCTTTTTATGAAGGCGTTCAATGTCCCGAAGAGAAAGTAACTCGCCCCTGGGTTAAAAGAAAAAAGAAAATGGAACGTGGGTAGAATCCCTTTCCCTAAGGCTTTCATTGCCATGGGGGCTGACCAAAGACCTGGTGGATGTGTGCTTTACCTGGGCTCCTCGTCACTGTCGATTTCAATATATTTCCTCTTTTGGGCTTTCCCGGGGGCAGCATCAAGTTCTTTCCTCATCTGGGCCAGGCGGATTTTCTGGAAGTCTTCCTGTGTTAAAACTCGACTGGTGCTGATGGCTGCAGCCTTGGCTTTCCGCTCCTCCATGGGCATGCTGCTCAGCTTCTTGGCCTGGAAAACACACAGAGGCTCACATGGTTACTAGCTCGAGTGAGAGCTTGGCCGCCCAAAGTTCATTCTCCCGACGAGGCCTGGAATAAGTTACAGGTTAATTAACAACTTGTAAGAACGACGTGCTTGTAAGGGAGAGCTGTACAACTTACAATTTCTTGCTGTTCTTCGTCGGAGGAGTGGTGCACATCAACCCACTCGCCGTCGTCATCCTCGTTGGGCTATGGCGCGGGGGGTGTGTGTGTGTGTGTGTGTGTGTGTGTGTGTGTAGGGGGGGGGGCTCAGCAGAAGGAAGGGTCACAGTTGAGCTTGGTGGGGTCAGAGGACAGCATGCTGTTTTGGCAGGATGAAGGTATCCATGGTAGGGGCACAAGGGGAAGGGAAGTAGGACAGTGTATGCAAAGGCGTGGAGGAGGAAGAACGTGAGTTTTGAAACTTATCTAAATAGGTTTCAGAACCCACCCCTAAATAGCTCCAGCACTAGCCAGAGGCAAACTACGGCCAGCTCTGGCTCTTCACTGATGACTAAACATTTCCTTGCATTCCTAGGAGCGTCTGTCATGTGCCAGGCCTCCTGATAACAGAGCTTCTGAGGGCTCTTGGTTTGAGAGGTGGTGACCTGGCTACAAGCTGTCTGAACTCATCCAACTGACCAGCTGCTATCTGTGCATTTTATACCATGTCAATAACAATTTTATTTAAAACATTTTAAAAACTGCATTCTGTTATTACACAAGTCCTAGATTATATATTGTTTCATTTGCTTACTGTTTAAAGAACGGGAAATAATACGCCTCACTCACCATGGCAGTGGCCAGTCTTGTCTCCTTGTCAGATTTGGGCTTTTTATGAAGGCGTTCAATGTCCCGAAGAGAAAGTAACTCGCCCCTGGGTTAAAAGAAAAAAGAAAATGGAACGTGGGTAGAATCCCTTTCCCTAAGGCTTTCATTGCCATGGGGGCTGACCAAAGACCTGGTGGATGTGTGCTTTACCTGGGCTCCTCGTCACTGTCGATTTCAATATATTTCCTCTTTTGGGCTTTCCCGGGGGCAGCATCAAGTTCTTTCCTCATCTGGGCCAGGCGGATTTTCTGGAAGTCTTCCTGTGTTAAAACTCGACTGGTGCTGATGGCTGCAGCCTTGGCTTTCCGCTCCTCCATGGGCATGCTGCTCAGCTTCTTGGCCTGGAAAACACACAGAGGCTCACATGGTTACTAGCTCGAGTGAGAGCTTGGCCGCCCAAAGTTCATTCTCCCGACGAGGCCTGGAATAAGTTACAGGTTAATTAACAACTTGTAAGAACGACGTGCTTGTAAGGGAGAGCTGTACAACTTACAATTTCTTGCTGTTCTTCGTCGGAGGAGTGGTGCACATCAACCCACTCGCCGTCGTCATCCTCCTCCTCACTGAGACTGGTACTTTCCCATCCATCTGCGTAAAAAGAGCACACGTTTTCCTACCACTGTATGCTGAGTACTCACAGCAAGCTGAGATACATCAAGCAATAGCAAAGCAGGAAAGCGAACCCTGGATAGACACCCTACTGACAAAGACTTGAGTAGTATTTATTGTTACACTGGTCACATTGATTTAGTTCATTTAAGAATGGAGAATAAGCACTGCCCGAGTATCTGCCATGTGACAAAACCTCTCGATAGCTCTCTCCAACTCTCACAGCTCAATACAAAAGAAAAAACTCTCGGCGTTAACAACGTTCCCCCTGCCACATTGCTAGGAATGCACTGTATGCTAAAATCATGAACATCATACCTCACTCTAGAGCCCATGTTCTTTCCACTAAAACTATCATGTCTATCAAAATTGCACTGGATGGGACCAGCAGATGGTGTAATGGTTACATTGCTGGACTCCCATGTAGTCAACCACAGTTCAAGTCCCGGACTTGGTGGCTAAAAACTCACAGCAGGCATGTGTGTGTGTACATGCCCAAAATCCCTAGAGGAAAATGGATAGAGGACTGCAGCCATTCCCGCCACGGGGGTAATTTTTCACTTTCTGTTTCTGTCTGTGGCAAGTGCATGTACCCTATAGCAAAGATCCCTAAAAATAGAAAACTGTGTAAAGACTAATGCTCGTAATTTTTTTCTACACAGCAAACATAATACCATTATCTCTCTCAAGTGTCCAATAGCATGCCCTTGATAGGGAGGAGCCAACTTGCAGGACATGAAGAGGCCTCTCCTCAACTAGACTACGAGCTCCTGAAAGCAGGAGCCGTGTTTTTTGATCCCCAATACATTTCATTGTGCTTGGCACACAGCACACGTATGCGGTGATGTCCAAACAGCATAAAGATTTAAAGATCTATAAAGAATGGCAGGAGTGATTTTGCCCTGAAAAATGGCAAAATAAAAGCAAACCTTCACCGTTTTCAGCATTCTCTTCTTTCTCGACTTCCAGAACTTCTGCTCCTGGAATGTAATCTTTAGCATCCAATTCTCCATATTCTTGCACTCTGGCTTCTCTGGAAGCCTCTGTAGGCTTTCCCTAAAGAAGACATTTAGAGTCAGGTGCTCAGATGGCAAAACATTCATCATGAAAGGTAAAACCGTGATCTCTAGGCTCCCGAATTCAGAAGAGAGCACCATAAAAAATGGAGGTAATCAAATGACAAGACACAGCCAGCTTACGCCGCAGATCGGAGTAAATCCCCCAGTCGGAATGTGGTCACTATATTCTCACTCTTGATCCAGACCAAGAAACTGCCGATTATGAGGCTAACTCAAAAACACCACCTCTCTCTCTCTGTTACATACAGGTCCCCGCCTGCCTTCCACCTTGGAAGAGGCTGTATGCAGCTGGAGAAGAGCCTGTTCAATCCCGGCATCCGCTAGAGATGATCCCAATCTGTGTACGACGTCCAAAGTTTTCAAGGTGAAGCAGCCTAACAGGGCTTCAGGACTCAGTCATCAGCAAAGAGCACAGGGACCGCTGCAGATTATGTAGGACTGTGGCAATGGGGTAATCGTACTCTGAGCATAAAGGGAAACACGGAGTGCACCGCGCACTCACCATGAAGCATCACAGACACTACCGCTCAAGTTCGAGCTGTAGACGGTTACTCTCACCTTCTGAGCTCAGAACCTTCAGACCAACAGCATGTTTCACTTACTCGAAATTTCTTCTGCAACATCTGAGGATTCAGTGAATGAATCAGAGTTCTAGCAGACATCATTACATCTATAAAATAATGCTTGGAATTAGAATTCTGGAGCAAAGAGTACAGAGAAGGAAAAGTGGGCCACGTGTTTTCTCTTGTTCACAGACAACAGCGGGCGACTTACTCTTATCTTTGTGTGTTTTATACTGAGCCAGGTCTTGGAGAAGTTCTTCAGTCATGGCTAGAGGACATCGAGCTGTTATTTCTTTTATAGCATTGATTCCCACTGTCACTCGAGCTGTTATTTCTTTTATAGCATTGATTCTAGAAAAGGAAAAATAATGAAAACAAAAATTAAAATGGCAATGTATGTGGTTCAAGAAGGTTTCCTAAAAAGTTTAATCCAGAGGAACACACATTGGGTTTTACACAGCGTAGGTCTCTAAAACTGCATGTGACAGAGAAATGTGCAGGCAGGCAGCTCTCATGAAGGCTTTTATTTCAGACAATTTCTGCCATTTTCTCTAACAGTGGAGTAAGAAACACTGTCCAGCAAGTAGAATTGTAGCAGTATTACTCTCCAACTCTATGCAGAGAAAGGATTAGGTCAAATAAAGGTTAAAGAGCTTTATTCCCAGAAATATTTTCAAAAAAAAAAATTAAAAAATCTTTTCAACATATGACTTATTACGACAGATCAGACTATTCTTAACCAGTGCTTATACTCATTAAGTGTTTTGAATTCATCAAAAGAGCCACTGGACTGCCCAAAAACTAGAGTGATTCAGTATTAAATAATTTCTTCCAGAGTAAGACATGAATTCAGGGGAGAGAATAAAGAGAGTCATACTAGAATGCCAACTGTCACTGAAAGAATAAAACTAGTAAAAAACAAACAAAAAACACCAAAATGCTGATTAGCAGGACAATGATCTTTTTCCTCAAAATTTCTGACAAAATAAAAATGGTTTCCTCCTCAAAAATTCTGACAAAATAAAAATACTAAACCTTCTGAGAAAACAGATACATTACAAACTGCTTTTCTGAAGGCCACTGGGACAGCTGAAATCTTACACGTTGGTAATGACGCAAATCCAGTTCACTAAAATGCATCTACCATCCCCCACCACGTTCTACATACCCCACTGTCATGACTTCCCCGGAGTTCTTGTCGGTGACAAAATTGTTGGCCACAGTCATGAGCAGTGAGTGAATGATCTGAATTGGGAACAAGGGAAGAGACGAGAGGCAGTAAGACATCCACATGTATTCAATGCTCGAGGATGAAAAGACAACGGATTACTCACACTGGAAATACCCCTACATGTTTAGTTTGGAAGTCTGAAGGAATCAAGACTAAAGAAAACTGAGATAAAAATACCTCACTTTGGAGACCCAACAGGTGGTATAGTGGTCATATCACTGGCCTTCCACATGGCCAACCATGGTTCGAATCCCAGCTCCAGTGGCTTCAAAATCATGTCAGGCACGTGTGTGTGTGTGTGTGTGTGTGTGTGTGTGTGCCCAAGATCCCTGGAGAAGGGACTGCAATGTGGCCATCCCCCCTGGGGGGTGATTTCTCACTTTCTCTCTCATTGTCTGTGTCTGTCTGTCTATCTCTCTCTCTCTAGTGAGTGCATGTGCCATAAGACAAAAAACTCCTAAAATAAAAAATCTCACTTTGGAGTTCAATGCTTTTCTTGGCTATCCTCACACTAAGTTTACTCTCCTTTTTTAAATAGTTTTTTTTTTTTTGCCATAGGGCATGTGTGCATGCTGGATAGAGACAGAGGGAAAGTGAGAGAAACCACCCCCCAGCGGGGATGGCCAAGCAACAATCCTTTCGCCTCCATTCTCCATTCAGGATTTTGGGCATGCACACACATGTGTCAGCATGTTTTCCAGGGCACTAGGTCTAGGACTCGAACCGCAGTGTTGGTCACGTGGGATTCAGTACCTTAATTACCACACCACTGGCTGGCCCCAAGTTTTACTCTCCTTTAACATCAGTTTTCAATACAAGTGAAAAAAATTCCGTCTGCGTTGACCCAGGCTGTTGCAATGCTATGTTAGCCAAAGAATGGAATTACCAGCTTTGAAAAATAATCACCATTAGCTAATGTTTTTTCCCTCCCCTAGCATAAAATTTGGTTACTAAACAAAACCAGAATTCTCAATGATTTGCCCAAAACAAACTTTCTCCTTCCATGAATTGTACAACTGAACTGCTCTTTGTTATCTTTAAGAGTTAGTGTCTTCTACTCACTTAGAAAAGGATGAGGGTGGGGGGACAGGAAATCCCATGGGGAAGGTGACCCTGATGGACATACCAGTGGTACTGCTATGCATGCACTAGATCCTGAAGTAGGAAAAGAGTTCTCACCTCTGGTGGTACCAGGTGATGTGAGGCTTGGGCAGCAAACAGAAGGATCTTTGTTACTTCTGAAAGCATGAAAGGTCAGAAAGGCACAGTCAGTTCAGCGCTCCGCAGCCAGGATTATAGCACATGGCGGCTATAACAGGACACCCAGCCCCCAGACATCGTCACAGCTCACCTCTCACTTCCTCCAGGTCCCTGCTCCATTGCTGCCTTATCAAAGGAGCTTTACAGATGGCACATCTAACACAGAACCCACCTGAGGACCCTATGGTCCTTACTGATTGCTTTCTCTTTACCTGGACATATCCAGGACACCACCATCTGTATCCCTCTAGAATGTAAGCTCTAAGAGGGTAAGGCCTCTACTTTATGTTCACCACGGAGTTACTGGTGTCTAGTGCAGTGCCTGGCACAGAAATCACTAAATACTTGTTATAAGAGGGAATAAATATACACACACAATCCCTTCAGAAGGGAAGCACAGGGGCCAGCAGATGGTAGGGTAGGTGAGGTACTGGACTCCAACATGGCTGACTGCGGTTCAACTATCGAACTCGTATCAGAGTCATGCTGGGCATGTGTGCCCAAAATCCCAAGAGGAGAATGGAGAAGGGATCATGGCATGGTCATCCCCCCAGGGGGATGATTTCTCACTTTCCCTCTCACTGTCTCTATCTATCTCTGGCAAGCACATATGCCCTTATGGCAAAAACCTAATGGCAAAAGAAGGAAGTGCGGTGAATCCGGATGTCCCATTTATTTGCTGAGTGACCCTGATCTCTTTTTCTCTTCTCTCTACACATTACATGATTAATGTGAGGACTAGATGAGATGATGTATAAAAAACACATGGCACAGTGCTTGGCTCCTGTTACATAATAAATGGTCTATCTTGGCTCAAGTTCAAAGGCAAACCGACATCTCTTCTTTCCCATTTTCAGGTCATTTTTAGTTAAGAAGGCACGTGAGGGCAATGAGAATGGTAAGATAAAGTCCTAGCCTCTATTACAAAGTTATGGTTAAGAGGTGAACCATCTTTTCTAGAATTTTCCACATGAACGTTTATTGTATTATAAGACTTGCTTTGAAAAATCTGTTTTGGGAACCAGCAGTTAGCGTAATGGCTATGTCGCTGGAATCCCACGTAGTCGACTGCGGTTCGCGTCCAGGACCTGGTGGCTTAAAACTCACGCCAGGCGCGCGTGTGTGTGTGCCCAAGATCCCGAGAGGAGAATGGAGGAGAAGGGATTGTGGCGTGGTCATCCCCCCTGGGGGGTGATTTCTCACTTTCTGTCTCTATGTCTCTCTCTGTCTGTCTGGTGAGCGCACGCGCCCTATAGCGAAAAAACCTCTCAAAAAAAAAAAAAAAAGAAAAATCTATTTGTTTTTCCGAAAACAAAGCTTTCTAAAAGTTGAGCAGGATAAGTAATCCATGGCATATTCTAGAACGAATCTGTTTCCCTTAAGAGAAAACATAAGGGTTTCTCTTCCCTTCTCAGATACTGAACAAAGTTCACTCCTTAATGATTTCAAAGCAAAAGACTTCAGAAGGTTATTCTAATGATAAGAACACCAAAGAAAAGGCCAGTGGGCATCTTACCTCTTTGGTGGGGCTGCAGAAACCTTTGTACAAAGGGATAGAAGTTGAAGAGGAAAAGCTATGGAAAGAAGAATGCACCAAATTTAGCAGCATTTATGTAACTGATGCA